TTTCCCTGGGTAAAATAAACACATTCAGATTGATGCAGTATAACGTATAAAATTGGAATAATTTGCTTTTTAGCTAGAGGTCAGGATCCGCTGTGATTCTATAATGATATTTTGCGCACACATTTTCGGATGTATACGCACTTGACTCTGAAATGTCGTGAGTGCAGTGCTATGTACATGCAAATGAGATTGAGTTGTTTTAAATACTGGGCGCGTTATTTCAAAGGAACAGCACATGAACTGATTTTGGATGTGATCTGTCCGACGTCCAATTTGAACGAGTGTCACTGACAAGTGTCTGGGATACGTCGGTCCTTGCGAACAGTAAAACAGGCTATAACAACGCATACCATGACAGCGAGTATGAGGGCTGTTCCCGAGAGCAGCAGCAGTGCATGCGAACTGGAGATGTGCGCTCCGTCTATGGAGGCTGCAGTAGTCCCTTTTGTGCTAAAGCTAACTGGCAGACTAGAGGGATGTCTCTTTAGACTGGCATGACGTCGACTAAAGTCCCGCAGGTGATCGGACTCCTGAGAGAGAGCCGTTGTTGCGGTTTTCTGGTTGCGGACCGAGGGGTCCGGATTTATATGAAGGCAGGCATCAGAAAAGAGCTGACGCCGTTTTCCTCCGTCCAAAACACGGACGAAGACAGCATTATGCACGCCGTTCTTCAGGAGCTTCTCCTCCACCCAGATTCGGCCGTCATCGAAGAGGGAAATATTTTTGGCATTGAGGAATACTGTGTTTGCTGCGACTGCCGGACGGTAGGGGGGTTCATCCAGCACAGTGAAATGGGTTGTGCGGTTTTCACCGAGGTCCGGATCGAAAGCCCGCAGCTGAGTCCAGTAGCCCGAAGTGGTCTCCGTGCTATAGTACCACGGCATACGATCTAGCTGAATCACTCCATCCTCACTATCCTTCGAAACTAGTGTCTCTGAGAGGGGATCCAAGAACATAGGCTGGTTATCGTTCACGTCGAGAAGCCGCACTGCTACTTCATACAGTCCAGTTAAGCGGAAGGGCGTGCCTATATCGGAAAGCTTGATGACCAATACAAATCCATCAAGCAACTCTCGGTCCAGGAGAGGATAATCGACCGCTTGGACAGAGAGTTCGCCAGAGTAAGCGGCCAATCGAAAGCGAGGTAGGCGAGGCGGCGATCCATGAAAGATATTGCCGGTTAGATGGATGTCGCGCAGCTCGTAGAGCACCGTCCCGTTGGCACCAGCATCTGCATCTGTGGCTTGCAGGTTGAGGAGGTAGATCCACTCGGGGCTAGTGGTCACGTTGGGCGACCGACTGTCATATTCTGTAATGTTGAGGCCGTAGTCCAAGACAGACGGTGACAAGCTGGGAGCGTTGTCGTTGACGTCGGTAATGGTTAGGACTACGGTCACCATGGCCCTTTGTTTTGCACTGACTGAATAAAACTCCTCCATGTTTGTTTCTTCTCTTCCCACTTGCTCGCCATCCCCAGCAACCTCGTCAACCGCTGTGAAGACGCAGGTCAGTTTTTCTGATCGCTCCCTGTCGATACCGAAAGGCAATGAAAGCTGACCCGTTTGCCGGTGGACTATAAATTTCTGGCACTCTGTGTTAGAAACTGGTTCGGCCCTGGCATACTCCACCTGTCCCACGTGGTTTACCGTGGTGAGGGTGTAGAAGTCGTTGATGGGACGAGAGGACTCTTCCACCTTGATGTGTACTTCATTGCTGATGAATCGAAACCTCCGTTCTTCAGGAAGCGACAGCCGTAATAGGAGACGTGATTCTAACGTGTAAGCTCCGCTAGCGCAAACGACAGACAAATTTAACTGTGTTAACCGCTGACGCATAACATTGAAGTCTTCTGTAAAATGGTAATTCTTTGCAACTTTCATTGTGAAGGTCCTCCTGTTTAGGATGAGTCCAGCCTCAACCAGATCTAGCTCTAGGGGAATGTTCGCAGTGTGGGCAGCTTTCAATGAGCAGATAGCATGTTGTGCCCTTTCTCCACCGCCATCACCAATCCAGACCAAGCCCAATATTGTGTCGCTGTCGGCGGCACTTGGAATGGATATGATAAGATCACCACCACTGACTGGCTCGCCGCCCAAGGGTTTGAAGATTATCCTCGGAACTCCTTCAGTGACGTCCTGCAGAAGGTTAATACTAAGTGTGCCATGCGCCCATTTACGCGGGGTGCCATGATCTCTGACGCAGACGCGAAGTTTCACGCTTGTACCAGGGAAACTGTTTAGGGCACTGCGAACTGTAACATCACCGGTCAATGGATCCACACGAAAAAACTTGCTTCTTACTGCTAAGTCTGTGAAGTTAGAGGTGATAGATGCGCTACAGTCAGAGTCAATATGGTAGACTAGGCGTCCTGCGCTACCCCTGTCCTCGTCAGTTGCTCTTAGGCGAATCAAACGACTGCCTTCTCGCGTACTGCGAGGTATCGACAGTTTGTACATGTTACGAGAATCAAACTTTGGGAACTGGAAGATTGGTGCATGGTCATTTTCATTTTTGACCAAAATATTAATCTTCATGTAGGCCAAATCCATGCTGCCTCTCCTATTCATGCCCTCTGCAATGAGAAAAAAAGCGAATTCAGGACGCAACTCAAAGTCGAGTGGACGCAAGAGTAACAAACGCAGGCTACATCCTGAGCTAACTGAGAAAGCAGTTTGACAGATGAGCCCAAATTGAGGCGGTCCCACAAGTGAATCTGCAGCATTGCGGCCTCTGACTGCCAAGTTCTCACCCTGCTGCATTTTCTCTTCCTGATCCCGTCCGAAGAGACCGTAACTCCTGATCCCATTCTTTGGTTCATCTAGGTCAAACGCCTCAGGTAAATGGAAATGCGCTCCCACCGGTGTGAGCTCCCCGAGCGTTAGGTTCCACTGATCAGTCTCGAAGAAGGGATAATTGTCATCAATGTCTTGTATGATAATTTGAACGTTAATCCAACTTTCCTGCAAGTCGGGAGCGCGCACCACAATGCTCAGATCCACTCGACAACTGGAGGTTGTTGTCGGTTGGGACATATTTGCGTAGGCTATGGCTGACCACTTCCGATTTGCAAAGAGGTCTGTAGATGTCGGATGTCTCTGCACATTTCGTGTTTTCTTACCATTCGGAAATGATGCACAAATGCTTTCCCGATCGAGTCGTTCTGTTGTAAAGAGGTCACCTGTCGATTCATTAAGACGAAATCCATGCTTAGTGCCCAACATTATCCGAATGAAGTGGTGGGTCTCACTCGGTCCAGAGGACAAGAAGGGGTCGAGTAATATGTTTGCATCTCGTAGTGGGTTGCCAATAAATGTTTCTGGGTCACATTCCTCTTTTACTGCATAATAAACGGCCCTTGTAGATACGGACGTTGAGTCGGCATAAACTATTAGAAATAGGAGAATAACCGTGCACATGGTCATATCGTGAGTATGCCTCGATTTCAGCACTTGTCCTCATGAGGCGCTTAAGAGGTAACATAATAGTACAGAAGAGAATAACTGTGAAACCTACAGTCAGTCTTACTTTTAGATTGTCTGATTGGTCAAAATTTAGACGTTAAGCCTTCAACTAATGAGACTTACCCAAATAACTAACTAGCCAATCAGAAACGTCTGCAGCATCAGGCCTCAAAAGTGCCACAATGAGGTTCTATAAGCGTAAACCGCACTTATTTTGGGTAAGTTTGTGAATGGTACCTAGGTTTAAAGTTTACTTTGGCCTAGTAAGCCGAAAACTTAAAATATTCAGAGAATTCTACGTGAAATGATAACTAATATTTGAATGAAGAAAAATGTGATTACATGTACATCATAACTGAAGAGATCATACGCATATTCCAGAATCGAAGGGGGTATTTATGAATGGTGGAATAGAATGCTCGTGGGATGCACAGAAGGCATACCACTTTGAATGATTAACTCCATTTTTGTTCCTTAATCCGTATCCCTTCATCTCCACGATTTCTTCCACGAAAGCGCATGTATATGCCCTGGACAAATTTATAGGCGGCAGTATACCTGCAAGTGCGTTTATAATTAATACCATCATTCAATGCTGTTTTGCGGGTGAAATTTCCTTATAAAATTTAAAGAGTACTAGACATATTTTCAGAAATTATTCTTTCGGGAGGTTTCTTTCTCCTATTTCGTTATGCGTGTAAAAGTTTATATAATAAACACTGTATCAAAAATCGCAATTAAAGGCAAATACTGAGAGTGATTTTAGCTAACTCGTAGACAAGGATTATGCACATGCGCGTACACTGCGGGCAATATCTATGACTTTCATCTTCTCGAATTGTAGGGGTTTCTTTTGAAAACATCGGCAATTTTGGTCGTATGTCAGCCATAAGTTTTAACCTCTCTAGGCGTTCACTCGTTTCCACTGGTTTCTCTTAGGACGTCAGTCGTGGTTGGCGTCCAGAATGCTACCTTAAATGCACTACTGTTGTAGTTATTGGAAAAGTATGCGGTCGTTTAAGTTATTATAAGACTTTTGTCCTGCTTATTGGATATCTAAATCATAGAAATTAAGTCGTCGAACTACTTGCAGTCAGATGATTTTGCTGAGAAACCTAAATCTACCACATTGATTATGTACTACTGCCAAGTTAAGCATAGTTGTGAAAACACTTACGACTGTCAGGCAGTTAATAGGACTGACTGCTGACTGCGCAACAACACCGTTGCTACTCTAGGTCAGATTTTGTCTTATTTAAAGGACGTTGCTTTCATTTTCAGGTTTAAGAGCACAAGAAGCTTCACCCGGAAAATGATAAGCTACTTGCAGATCGTGTCCATTCTATGTAAATGGAAATCTTGTCATACCAAAATATTATTGTTGTGTATCCGATCATACAATTATTGTAATTATTTCAGTCATGATGCTTCAAGTAGCACTTATCGCAATTATTCTAATTATGCCTAATGGTTAAGGTTGATTGCTGGTTAATTTACACATTTTCAAAACTAGTAACATTTATATTTTGAGCGTTTTTGGTGGCAGAGGTCTGACGTGGTTTAGACTAATTTCGTAATTTACGAATGCGTTCGATGGATTTTTAATCGGAAAATGATCTTGATAGAGTAGTTTGTCGGGCGGACTTCGATCATCCTGTGTTTAACATGCCCTTTATTTACACCACTGAGCTTAAGTAAGTCGAAAAATTTATGAGCTTAGCCTCGTTCCAAATGCCGACCGTTGAGAAAGCATGCGAGTTCTGATCTTCCCGTATCATCAGGACGAAGATCTATTCATTAGGGTAGATGATGGCATGCAGGTGGAGGTTATTCTGTTGCTATACGGCGCAAATCTACATACAGACATACAATTAGACAACTGCCTCTTATGCAGGGGGTAAACATTACTTCATACTTATGTATTTGCTTGGTAGTTTGGTTTTAAGAGAGGCAACAATCTACTTCACCCTTTTCACCTAAAACTAGAAAGCACGTTTGGTCACTGCTCGAATCAATACTGACAATTATGCGCATTTAACATTAAAACATGCCACATATGACATATGTTGGAGGGTTTAGATAGAAATGAAAGCCTCGGTATGAGCAAAGGTCGTAACTCTCAATCCAATTAGGACGTTTGGCATCAAATACAACAA